TCAGTCCACGTGGGAGGTGATTTCCAGTGACCAAAAATTTCCCTCGACGAACATAACCAAGGGGCATAGGTGGGTGTAGTTGACATTTGCTCGGTGGTATCACAGTTAAGTGACGTAATGGCCACATGTAATCACAATTTTTAAGACGTACTGTTTCGGATTATCAGTCTCATATCTTTCGCCATCTTTTAGTAGTTGGGTTTGTCCTAATTTGTTCCCGATCCAACCTCTTAATGAACTAAAGTCGACGATCAACCGAGAATAAGTTTCACTTTTTGGTGTTTACAACAATTAATCATTCACTTTCGTGCGCCGGTTTTGGTTACAGTCGTCCCCCCCTCCATTTGGACACAAGAGAAGAATGAAGATTGAAGTGTTCAGAGCAAATTTACGGGGACGATAGAGGAGGTTCCATATAGACTGGTGTTACAAGAATAATGAATAGATGCATGATTACCGCTGTTTGCGACACCCAACCACATCGCTCAGTGTCTCTAACCATCGGGAACAATAATCTCGAGGTCATGCCAGGTCTTCGTTTGATCACCCTTGGCTTTATTCCATCCGCCGCCTGCCTCGGCAAAAATCGCTCGCTGTGGCAACTTATTTGTAGATACACGTGTCACATGTCCCAACCAGTTCCAGCGATTACCTAGTACTACACCTAACCTCATCATTACTCGTCTGGTTACCCCACCAGACACGTGCAATGCGACGTAGGCAGTGGAGTTCGAATACTGACAATTTGTTTTTATCCTGTTCCCCTAATGACTAAGTCTCGGCACCGTAGAGCAGAACTGACCGATCTGCCCAAGCATACACTCGATCCTTCACAGACAGCCGGCGAAGAAGATATAATTGCAATTTGAACTCAGAATACACAATTTTGTGAGTGTACAATCTATTTCCGGAATCATTTCGCCGCATCTAAACAAGTCTAAGTAATTTGTACCTTTTTTCCAGGCAGATTGCCTAATTTTTAATATCCTGATCTCGCTCCAAAAACTACGCAATCACCAAAGAATACAAATCCAGCACAAAACTACTGCACCATCGATAGTAGGATGTCTTCAAGCAACAATTCATAAAATCTATCGTGATAAATCATTTTTTATGATCTATCTAACCAAAAGGTCCCTATTATTTCGATTTGCGGATGCGATAGCCGTCAGTCGATGCAAACCCACTCTGAGCCCACAGAAAAACCTTGTGTTACTTTGATTTTACCGATCCGACTGTGTTTTTCTGCTCCCTCATTACAGCTCTGTGTTCCATGATGAATCATTTTCTTTTTGCTTTGCATTGAGCAAAAGCTGTTTTGTTACGGCGAAAATAGGTCACACCTATTTGTGTTCCTACGGTCTTATGTAAAGAATCTTGTTTGAACCATCCTGATCAACGAACGTTCTCTAGTAGGCATCAAATGCACTGTAGTCTTCCATCCTGATCGTCAGATGTGATCTCGTTTGTCCTCAAAGTAACCTTGCTGGCTTAAAATTGGACATGTGCCGCATTCGCCACACGGTGTTAATTAGCGTGTGGTCTGCTGATCCATTTATGGAAAGTTTCACGGCTCTGTTAGGCGTGATCTGGCCTGTAATGTGACTTAAATCATATTCCTTTATTTTTCGCTGATGACTTGCAGAGCAATAACATTTTTATGACTCGATTTATACTTTATGTATGGATTGATTTCCCAGCGCTTACGTCGTTTTCGATTATTGTTTTTCTCGTTGAATTGTGTGTGCGATTCTTACGGTCATCCCATCATGTAATCTGTTCTTTAACAGGAAAATTCGATGAGGTTTATAACAAATTACGCGGTGCCCATGAACACATGAAAGTCTATCGAACGGCGGATGTGCCGGCTGACTTCCATTTCAACCAGAACTCTTCTCGTATGCCACCACTTGTGATAGTCCCCGACGATGGATGGTATCTGGTACACAATGAATCGGACCGGACTATCGGTAAGTGGTCACAATACATTGTTTTAACAATCTCAGTTAAATTACTAAGACTTTAGGGCCCGAAATAGTTCCCGGCAGCCCACACCGACGAAGGGGTTTTCTTTGGGAACCCTAACCGGAGTCTTCGACTCAAAAGTCGGACCCACAAGGCAGTGGGCGTAGATCTAACGCCGTTATGTGAACGAAACACTCGTGTGGGAGCTTCTAGAGACCTGTCACACAAGGCCTTCGGGCTTTGGTTAAGTGTGTTGTTCGCTGGTTTGTTAATTGTCGGTCCGCTTTTCGGAATCGGCTTTTAGTCGCATGCATCCAATGAGACAAGCGGAAAGGGAATGCGACAATGTTGGCTGAGAGCTACCCAGCTTGGGTGGACGGTAGCTGTCCAATGAAGTGCGAAGACTTCTCCCACTGTCGATAGGAAGCCCCAGGCACCCTGCTCCTACATCCATCTAGCGGGGTTTTTTGACCGGTAAACTACCCCTCACCGTGTTTATTTGTTGGAGTGACCTCTCCAAGGGCGTGTGGATAGACTAAGGAAGCCAGGTGCCCGAGCTTTGTGAGACAGCTATGTCTGGCCTCTACCCATTGACCTTTCAGGCATGGTTGAAGCTACGTCTGTGAAAAGCCATCCTGTATAGCTTGCAGAGTCATGGAGGCACACAAGCCATCACACCACGTCAAGGTACAGTCTTTTCGTGATGGTCAATCTATTTTATCCGAAGCTAGATGCCGGTGGAAAACGCAAAATATTTCAATTCCGTACGAAGTAAACTAGATTTAATTAGATTACGCAATCTCTGTCTTTATAGCCATTAAACTTGATCCGTCTGTTCCATTTGATATTTTTCTCTTTTGGCTTGTAAACGAAACGCCGTGTTACGAAGATGAGGTCCAACTCTGTGGATGAAGTCAATATGATACTCGACTCAACGTAACTCTTATGTCCCGTCTAATTGGTCCATAGGCGCGCAGTGAATTAGGCAGTACGATTTTTGCAAAGGGCACATGCGTAGCTGGTGAGCAAGCAGGAGCGGGTAACACGCAGGAAGGAAGGAAGGCAGGTAGCCAGGCCAACAATTGGTTCATGCATCACACGACAGCTGAATGTTGTCAAGTCGTGATTCAAACAGTCAACCAATCAATCAGCGTGGGAACAGTTCAATATTGATTTCTGATTGGTTGAAGCCGATCTATGCTGTAGTGGAGTCGGTCCGCATGGCGTGAGTGTGTGTGTTTTAACTGACAGTATCAGCTAACCATTCGATCAGTCAATCAATCCGACTACAGGCAGTTCACCGGATCACACGGCCTTTGGGGACAGGGTCAAACGTCAAAGGCGCCCAATACATCTCGAGGCTGGATCGAGCTGGTTTCCACGATGNCGATGGTGTGTAGTTCGTGCGCCTCCTCTTGGTTGGTTTGGAATCAAGGTTTTAGCCAGCTCCCTTAGGGGAACTGCCAGTGGTTCAGTTATCCAGTTGTAGCCCCGACTATTGGCTTTTCGTCCTCTCACTTTGGTTGGATAATGCCACCACGAGAATGCAATGAACAAGGCTTCCTCGCAGAAGCTATTTGAGACACTTGGTTGCACGGGAGCATTTCGCGAGTTGCAAGGGAGAGGGATGACCCGCCGCAACACGAGACACCCGCCCGCGACTATACTGAGGATTTCGGAGACGGATCTATTTATCAGAGACAGTAAACTCATCTCCCGATCCCTCAAGTTTCTATCCAATCATACTCTCCGGAAACGTCTGGTTCAATATGTTGTAGCCGACCACTTCAAAGACTGTAAAACATTTCCCCGGACTATCTTATCTGACTGATCTCATCTCCTATATCCGGACCTCAGTCGGTACCTTTCTCATTCATCCACTCGCTCTAGTTATGAACTTATAAAATCACGCAGTGAGGCTTACGGTTGTTCTGTTGTTCTATAACTCGCTAGATTTCTCACAAATTATGAACTGGTCACAGGTAATCTGCGTATGATGCTCAACTAAACTGATCGTAAATGCCAAGATGTGCCATTAGTTTTCTTTTGTTGTTATTGTTGATTTGTTGGTGAATTACTGTGCTATATTTCTCATTGCTTGAAACCGTGCATAAAACGATTCATTGGCTTACTCAACCCCACCTTGTCTGATCGGAGACCTTGGCTTTCTATACTTTATTGCCTCTTGGTCGTTTTTATAGCTTAACCTCTGCAAACTGAAGCAACGCAGAATTTTGCGTGAAGAAAACTCAAATTCCGTTGTCCCGTTGATTTGATGCTCAGTCTCTGACTTGTGATGAGCGATTAATGATGCTGTTTAGCAGGTTTTTTACCTTTGACTTTGACCAATTGATCTGAATTTTGGGGTTTGGCGAAAGCGGTTACTTGATTGGAGGAGATAGGTATTCTGTCACGAATAGTGAGCTACAACTGGTTCGACCATGTTCATTACTCGTTTGATGGATGAGCTTAGGTAGCATTCTAACAAACTACTTACGTCAGCATCCTCGAACGGTAGTTATAGAACCTTACACCTCATGATGAATATCTCTGCTTTTGAATGTTCAATGCTATACATTTTAACAGAGAAGTTCTTTGACAGTTGCATTCAATTTTATCGTTTCATCTGCGAGGTTACCACATGTACAAATTTTTCTCTCAGTCACAAAGTGTCCTCAACCGGCCCTCATTTGTAACGGATGGTGACGAACCTGGTGAAGTGCAGACAGTGTGTGTTTGCTGAACACAGATGGACCAAGACTTCCATTGATCCTCAGTTGCGTGTTTATATCCAGGAAAGGTAAACAGTCCTTGTCTTCATGTTGCATGACTGTTGTGACTCGTCTCGGGGCTAGAAACCTCGTGTGCGTATCGAATTCCGCACGATATAACCCAGAGCAACACTATGGTACTCGGAACGAAATCAGAACACTTCACACAACAACGAAGTCGTATTGTAATTTGCGCATTACTCGAACAAGGATATCGTATTTGGTAAAAACAACCGAGTTCATAGTCTATGTAAAATCACCACAATGACTAGCCTAACGTTAGCTTTAAGTAAGCTTGTTAGTTCTGACTCGGGTTCTTTTGTCGCGCGGTCGACTGTAGTGATTATGGTATGTACTGAGCATGAAATACGAATCACGGACGGAACGTAAACACTGGATCACACTGATTCTTGCACGCAGTATCCCACGCAACCGAGACGCGAGGAAAAGGCCACAGGAGTAGTAGTTCGTCTAATGAAAGAAATAAGGGGATTAAATAATATGTACAAAACAAGCTCATTGGTCATTCAAGCCTCTGCCATCCGCGTGCTAGTATTTTGGGAGTTATTCAGCTTCCGTCTGGGTCGCACGGCTTCTGATTGGTTGGTACAATCGATCTATGATCTGTAGTCCAGAAGCTGTGACGCGTACGCGCTTTGCTAACGTCACCCGGGAAGCTTGGCTAATCACAATTGTCCAAAAACCGTAACGTGTCTCTCCGTGGTATGCATCATCTCGTAGGCTAGGATCACCACATGAACTTATTCATGAATCCGTCTTCAACCAATATATGTACTTCCTGTAACACTTTCTATGGCGTTTACGTTATCGTTATTTCCCTTTAGTTAATTAGTTATCAACTGAGATTAAACGAAAACGTGACGGTGTTGATACCAGATTATGGGCCACGTGTAATGAATAAATATAATTACGTTTGTAAAATAGAAAATATCTTGCAAGACCCTGCAGGAGTTCAGCTTAAGTCATACTTTCAAATCAAATTTTGTTCCCTAATGCTCTCTTATTTCAGCCGGAAATCATGGATACTCTACAAACTTTACGGATATGAGTCCATTTTTTCTCGCTCATGGGCCATCATTTCTGGTCAATAAAACTATACCACTGGTTCATGCAGTGGATGTCTACTCTCTTTTGTCCGGTCTGCTCGGGATATTCCCTCACGTTCACCAAGGCAACCTAACGCGTATTGCCAATCAGTTACTAAAACCGGATGTGGCGGAGCGTGTGGTCCATACACCATTCTGGTTTCCGCGTTGGTGGGCCTGGTTGATGTGGCAATTGCAAACGTTCTGGATTCTGATGGGATTCTCCTTGTGGATTGTTCTACTCGCCTTACTGGTCGCCTCAGTCCATGTGCAACGTCGTGAAGTACGAATGTTGTCCGCCTACGACACAACGTGGATAGAAAACACAGCTTGATCCGCTCACATCTCGTTATCCAAATCCCTGCCATCCCCACCCATTCCTTCCTCCTCCATTGATATATTTGATTTCCAATCTGCCCCCGTACAACATACACATTCCTTCACATTTCACATTCTTGACATTTCTGTCGAATGATCGGTCGAGGTCAGACTTTCTTTTTATTGCAATCTTTTATCGTACTCATCATCCTGTTTGTTTTATTTCATGTTTTTGTCTGACACGTCAGCTCTTAGCCAACGGGGACTATTTGCTGTGATCCTTTTCATTTGATTCGAATCCACATTTCTTTATTCATTCTACCATCCTGAGTCATATTTTCCACTCGGTTTTCACAACAACAAAAAAATACGAGTAAATGCCAATCACCACTTAGCGGTAATCAAACTCAGCTGGCATTTGAAACTTGCTAGATCGTGGTACAAGTGAGTAGTACTACTCCTTTTTCCATCAACCGTCAGCCAAAACCCACAGTCCTTTAGCCTCCATCCGTATTCTTTTGGCCAAAACCAGCAATGCCTTATCTACGACGCACAAAATTTGGGCGAGTTAGATCAAAATGTATCGGAATATTCTGAAGTCCATGGATGTTGAAACAAATTATTTTCTACAAATGTTGATGTTGCAAAGCTTGACTGAAAAATGAGAAAATATAGAGGTCGCACGTTGCACCACCTGTTGACTGAAGAAGGTTAAACCATTTGGCACATCGCGGACAGCTTCCGTGTTTCCTGTGAGCCAAACTCAAGTATAACACAAACGGCAAATTGCTTTGCATCCAAATGTTCTGAAGTAAATCAACAAAAGCGAATACTTACCGTTCCTTGTTTCCACTTCAAGTGAACTCTACTCTTTAGATGTGGATGCGCTAACAGACCGAAGACAATGCACACTGTTCACAAAGGATCGCCTTTGGCACACCGTTTTCCACAAACCTTTAGACAAAATCTGTAATTATTGAGCTTCCTGTTGCGGCGTTTATAGTTATGTGGATGTATTTTTGTGTTTGTTATCCTCGACATGTTTATGTATCCATTTCCCATGAACAGCATTCACTTATGAATGCAAAACAATGTACCGTTTGTGTCACTCTTGAGATTTTCACTCACAGGAGTATCGCATGTTACACGGATACAATGAAGCTATACGAGATGTGTCAAATGATTCACCGATTCGGGCATATTGGTTAAACCTCGCCCAATCAACATGTGGTGCATCCGCTACACCTTGTAACGTCAACCGTCGTAGAAAATAACATTCGTCGCTCTAAGAATATTCCGATACAGCGTTATGACTAAAGATTGTGCTTTGATGTTAAAGGATTACCGGTCGCGGCTAAAACTTTGCGGGTTGTTGCTCAAGGATTGTGGGCCGAGGCTTAAGAACTGCGAGTTTTGGCTGAAGCTTGATGCATAAAGTGCAGTACCAGGTGATTCACGAAGACGAAAACACACTGATGAATAGAAATTTCAGCAACGGTTCCGTGGCACATTGATCAGACGAAACTGTCTCAAATGGCAATGGTTGATCACCACTCAAAAGCCCGTCCACAATCCCTATCCTGAATCGTCGGTGGCGGGCAAAGCCGATCGCTTTGGGTTGACCTTTCGCTGCTCGTGATAAACAAGTAACAGCTGTCAGTCGTTGCAAGATGGACCTGACGGACGATGACAAAACACGTTTCGTCTGGCTGAACGCTTCCGGACGCATAAGAAAAATCCAACCGTTTTATTCCTAACAAAGCGAGAAGCAGATCCATTGAACTGTGAAAAAAAATGCCAAGTGAGTTTCCTTCAAATCGGATCGATCGAGAGTGGAACAAATGGGTTAAAGGCGAACCCGATGTTTATGGGGTAGTTGAGAATTAATGTGAAATTGCTTGTCTGCAAACGTCCAGATCGAGTCAGATAAAAACATTGCAGCTGTCTGCATGGTGATGGACACTAAATAACCAAACTAATTGGTGACAGTGCAGCATACATATTACCATAGCAATCCTCCTCTGGGCAACTGTATCGCACGTAGTTTCATGGTACCGCAGCATGCTTAAGGTCTGCACTAGTTCACAAACCATAGTTTTATGCATTCATGCTGAAAAGTTTAGCTTTTCCCTTTAATGCGCTCCTTCTACCGTGGTAAATTTATACATATATTTTAGAAAAATTAAAAGAAATATTCATGGTTAACACAAAGTGACCGGGTTACCCCATCACAGACGCAAACAATTCAGGAGGGTATGTGTGCGAACCGGCTTGTGATCACCCATCTCCATTTGACGCACAGTTTCGTCGGGGAAAAGTGTCACTGTACCGCAGCTGAAATTTCTACTCAGCAGCAATGTTTCTGTCATAGCGAATCACCTGTTCTATTTCACGTGCGCACCAAAGTCTCGCATGTGCTTATGTGTGTCTGTCTACATGCACACACATAGATAGGTGTGTAGACTTGTATCATTATGCACCTGATCTCACCCCGGAGCATGCGTGCAATCACGCGGGAGCAGTATAAATAAATCTACACGTACAAAATGTACGAAACTCAATGTGGAAGTCGGGGTGGAGGTGGGTGGGTGGGGTAAATGCATGCAATTTTGTACGAACTTGACTGTTTCGATCATACCCTGGTATCAAGCGCCGTATTCGTATTCTGCTTGCAGGACCGTTCGAATCACACACACACTCACTACTGTCTGATCTCAGTTTCCGGAACGAGAAAGGCCGTATCACGAACACGGGCTCCCTTTCTGAGTTACCAAAACAGAATATGCACAGTATTCAAACAAAAAAAAACAACACCCTGATCTGATTGCTCAATTGGCTGGAAACCACATCGTCCTATGCACAGTAAACTAAACCGATGATAGCAGCACTGCGCTGTCAACCTCCCGTGAATGTGGGCCACAATCAACTGATATGTAGTGGATCTGCGGTGTGTCGGTAGCTGTGAGTTAGAGTGATAAACTGTATGCGTCGCTAACTAGACAGTGCGTTAGATTAGTGTCTGTGAGAATCCAAGTAGGTTTAGAGAAAAAGAATTCGCTTGTTCTTAACATAAATAAATCAGTCATATAGCGCATTCGAAACCTTTTTTTATTACACACTTTCGTGAGAAGAACGGCAGACGGGGAAAGCCCCATAGTCACGAGAAAGTATTGTTCACTGATGGTAACCGGTAACCCCGAAGCTTGGAGTGGCGAACAACATGGAGCCCTGATGGGTGGACCGGACGACAGCAAAGTTCCCTACCACCAAAGTTGGGTGGTGGTGGCTAGGCTCGAACCATAGGGTCCAAAGCACGCCTGTGACAGCGACTAAACCAATGCGCCACCACCACCAGCAACTAGGATTGGTATATTGTCTTTTCTCGTGTCGAATAGACGAAAAACAACAGACTGAAGATTTCTACTGACAAACTGCGTTCAAATTAATTGCTATAAGCTTTGTTATCACATAAATGGTTAATAGTTGCAGTATTTTTCTTAATACACACATTTTTGTTTGTGGTTAAATGGCAGACGAGGTGAATCCTATGGTCGCAAAAATCTGCTATTCAGTGGTAGAAACCGGCAACCTAAGCACCGAGATGTCGAGAATGGTGAGCTACATAAGGCCCCAATACACCTTTTCCCATCCAGCTTTAGCCGTAACCCGCAATGCTTTATCCACAACCCGTAACCCTTTAGCCTCGACGCACAAACTTAAATCATACTGCTGTAGGCGAGTAAGACCAAAAAGAATCGAATAATGAGCACTGTTTCCCAACAAGCTATAGAAAAACCCTGTAATTCTTAAGCCGCAACAGTGGTAACTATGTCAAATGTCTCAGCGGTAATAAACTGATGATAGTAATGGGAATGTGCTTTTGTGAATAGTGTTTATTGTCCTCGGCATGTTTATGCATCCACCTCTTATAAGCGGAGTTCACTTGTGAATGCAGAACAATGAACCGTTTAGGTTGCATTTGAGACTTACTCACAGGAATATGGAATGTTATAGGAAAGCACTGAAGCTGTACGAGATGCGCTAAATGGTTTGACGATACGGGCACATCGTTTAAACCTTCTCCAATCAGCATGCGGACGCCAATCAGCCAAATTTTGCAACACCAACACTTGTCGAAAATAAATTTTTTTAGCATTCGTTGACCTCAGAATATATTCCGACACATCTTGATCTGACTCGCTTAAGTATGACTAAAGTTTGCGCGTCGAAGTTAAAGGACTGAGGGTTTTGGCTAAAGGATTTTTGGTCGAGGCTAAAGCATTGCGGGTTTTAACTAATGCTTGATCGAGAAGGATGTGGATGAGACGTGCTAGGAAAATAGAAAGCTTTCCACCACCCAAGAACGCGATAACGACCAGAAATAAAGTCAACACACCCGAAATATTTCTTTTTTTACTGATGTGGGGCGAGAGCTACTAACTAGCCTTACCATTCAAACGCACCGGGCAAATGGTCTGAGAATCATTCCCGTGACCCAAAATTTCCAAGAAAGAAATCCCAGTATCACAGTTAGATGGAATTGTCTGTCTGTTAATAGAATGCCATTCGACTAAGCGAAGTCCAAGTTAGAGTGACTTGGTCCATGAACTATTACTTAGGCCAAACGCAGTTGTACGACTTGGTGTTTGCAGGATGTCACGTGAATGCAGTAACAGGGAAACAAAAGGTCAACTTTTAATTTACAGTAAGTGAAAGTCATAAATGTGTACTTCGGAATATAATTGGCTTTTCGTTGAGACCATCGCAACCACAAATATGTCAATCCTGAGGGTTTACTCAAGTACTCGAAACACTGAAAGGCTTCGGAGGGTCGGATAGGCGAATGATACGTAACTGACGCATGTTTTCAAATTCCAAACGAGCCATAGCCAACTTCTCTGACTCCATCCCACGAACTAATGAATTTTTTCAAGTTAAAACCGAAACTGAAATTACATTGACCTTTCCCCACTAAATTTCGAAATAACGAATAAATTACTTGTAAGTAATATAAATATTTATTATAGTGAGACTAAACTGAATTTCGAATTATCCACTGTTATATTTTCTAAAAGGATAATGGTACTCTAATGGAGAAATCCACTAAAGTATTTATTATAATAGTTTACTGATGTTAGTTAAAACCGTAGGCTAATGATTGTTCACGTTGTTTCCCGCAGTATGTGCTAAGTGAAATAGAACCAAAGGTTGGGATGATCAAAAACCTCTGACGAATCTGAGACACTGGAAATGAATTGCCGTTGGTTTTAGCTGGTATCATTGTAAAGCCAATGGGAACCTGCATATACACCTGATTAAAGCTCCCACTTAGCAGGTCATCGACCAATAGCTCGGTACGGCAGTAAAGTTGCGCTCGCAGCCGGCTAATAGTGCCGAGGATGGTCACCGTACCGCTACTGGTTTCATTTTTCGCCCTCGAACATTGAAATGGATATGCAAACTTTTTTCAACACACCATTGAGCGCTATCCAGTCGATTAGGATGCGAATTTATATTTTCTACGTTTTACGTTAATAAATTTTTATTATCACTTTCCAGTATTTTGTTATCAAATCGGTATGTAAGCGCGATCACGTTACTTATGAGTGACCAGCATATTATTGCGAATTTTACCTGCGGGGAGGGGGGACCGTCGTCTACGTCCATATTTACATCTGTTCACACATCTCTATTTCTACGATTTTGGACGTACCACCGAGCTGTTGGTTGAGTGAAAGCAGTTTGTGGGAACATATTTCACGGCAGAACACGTACCACTGTATCGTTTACTTTTCGAACAAACGGTACATGCTACTGGCAAGCACGACAGGAATTTACAGCACAAAATATGCTATTAACTCCACCAGCAGGCGTAGTGATTCGAATTTTCAAAGAATGTTCCCTTTCGAAGAGAGATTGCTTTCATACACCGACAGCAGCGAAACTTAAATCCGTCCAGCACCTTACTATACTCCTGGATATTCATAGGGTGACCGCAAACATAATCACGGTTTTTGAGTAACAAATTCCGATATTGTGAATATTCCATACAGGAGCCTCCTTCAATTTGGGATAAAAATGACCGCATCCACAGAGGGTGAGAAATGATTAGCACATAATAATGACTGACCATATAAACAACCTAAGGAAGTCAGATTTCATGTTAACACAAGCAAATTTTACATTTTCGTATCACATATTTCAGGGAAAATGTTTCACCTGCACAAGGTAATAATACAGTTTATCTGGGGAGTATCATTCAGATTTACCAAAATTGCGAACCCTAGTTAATACTGATATTTGCTTAATTCCTGAAATAATCCAAGTTATTTCACTATCAGAGAAATATAATCCTAGGTCACGAGCCATTTGAAAATTCAACCCACGCGGTACTCTACAAGATTAGTTCAGTTCAGTCAGCCAGTCAGTTTGCACAGGATAGGAGATGGCCACGGCCAACTGAGCGTCCAGAGGTCCTTCGGTATTCAGGTCAGGTCAGGTGGCACAGGACGATGAACTCTTTCGCCAACCGAGCGTCCAGATTCTTCCTCCAGCCGGAACCAAGTTCTTCCGGAGCTTTGACTTCTTGTCAACCGTTTGACCACAGCCAATTTCTTCATTTGGAACAGCCTCTCTTATGGGGTCCGTATCTGAAATAGGAGGTTCTTCGAGAATTGGCAGCATGGAACAGCTAAGCTCAATAATAGGCATTCTACCAAATCTCGGGATAGAAGCTTGTAGTGGCTTAAGACCGACAGCGTAACAAACCCGTTTTTGCCTAGCCTCGACACCAAAATCCCTAGCCGTTAACCCTTGTGGTCGAAGGTTTTCTCCGGCACCCTTCTTGAGGGTGGGGGGGGGGGANCCTTTGTCTGCCATTCCGCATGTATGCTTTCGCATGGTTGCAGACATTGATGGCTTGGAGCATTCGCGCGTGCATCCTCTCCCTTTGTAGCATAGATTCAGCCAGGATCTTCGATATCCTGAGACCGCTTCTTCAGCTAGGTCTTTTGTCTTTGTTTAAGTCACTGCCACCTCCGGTAAAGTAACTTTCACTTTTAACGGTGCGTGAGTTCAGTGCTACACCTTCTCTTGCTAAGCACTTTCGCTTTCAGACACTCTTGAGCATAGTCAGACTAAAACTCCGGTTCTTTCAGGGAACAATAAACTTCCCCTTGACTAACCGGGTGTTCTTCATGATCCATGCCGGGTGCGCGAGAAACACGGGAGGATTAGAGATCGGATCGTTGTCGCAGGTCGCGTAATTGCATCCGCCTAATTCTAAACTGGTGAGCCCGTTCCATTTTCCTGGTTATTGGTACCTTTTCACGAATTTTCGTTTTCAATAACCACCGTGTTTTACTTTTCTTGAATCGCATACACATTTTTTTGCGCTACGTAGGGTGTAACTATTTTACTTTAGAAGATATTTTTTCGTTTTGCTGCATTTGGGTATTTTCACGAAATTACTGCTACTGTTCTATTTTTGGCTGTGTTTGGTCAGCCATATTCGAAATCATGAATGAATCAAAGAAGATCACTCCTATTAAGCAGTACCCGGTAGTCTTAAACGCGGTTAATTTGACTTGTCTGCCCTTGTACCATAAAAATTCCTCCGTGTGGTTTGCCGTGGTCAAATCTCATTTCTCGACTCGAGGAGTTACTCAGTCCGATTCCAAATTTCACCATGTGTTGCAAGCTCTACCCTTAGATGTTGCAGAACTTGTGTTTGACTGCATCAATCCCGTCCCAGAGGAGCGTCCCTACGAGGCTCTGCGAGACGCTGTCTTAACACGTACCGGCTTATCTACCCAGGAAAATATCAGGAACGTAGTCCAGGGAATGACCCTGGGCTCTCTTAAGCCCTCCCAACTCTTGCTCAACATGCAGCAACAGCTCGCCCCTTTTAAGGTCGACGAAAATTTGCTTCGTGAACTTTGGGTTCAGAAGCTACCGAAGGCTGTATGCATGGTCCTGGCACCATGCGTTGGTTGTTCCCTCGGCGTTGCGGCCTAAGTAGCTGACAACGCTTTGACGTTCTATTCCCAGGGAACCTCCCTTAATTGTTCTACCCTAGTCGAAACAGCCTGATTAGTCAAGCGCCATTGCCACGCAACTGGCCGCTATTTCGGCTCGGCTAGATAGAATTGAACAGGCCAACTCACAGCCTCGTCAACCATGCCACCGGTCCCGAAGCCGGTCACGTGGCAGTTCTAGGCGCTCGCCCTCAGTCTCCTCCCGCAGACCCTTATGTTGGTACCACCACAAATGGGGTGCCAAAGCACGTCGGTGTATTGCCCCGTGCCAGTGGTCGGGGTCCAGTAAGCAGGGGAATGGAACGGCCAACGTGTAGGTGCGGCATTATCCGTTGGCCCTAAACCTGGTAGCCGCCTCTTTCATGTACAAGATAGGCATACCGAGGCTTGTTTTTTAGTGGATACGGGAGCCGAAATAAGTGTTGTCCCGCCAACGACTACGGAATCCCTGTCCCCCCAACCTTCCCCTGTTTTGTCCGCCGCTAATGGATCTCCTATCAGGACCTTCGGTAGTAGACGGCTCACGGTAGACTTGCGCCTACCCCAAGTAACCACTTGGGACTTCATCGTTGCTGATGTTCCATTCCCTATTCTTGGAATGGATTTCCTCCAGCATTTCGGTCTACCTGTTGACACTCGCCGCCATCTTTTGACTGGCCTGGACTGTAATTTCACTGTCCATGGTCAAGGAACTACCTTAACTGCCATTAGCCTCATTTTTCGCAAGCTCCCTTATGGTGAGTTGCTGTCCGCCTATCCCGCTATCACCCAATCTTCCGATATTCTTCCCTCCGTTACGACGCCAGTCACGTACTCCATTCGCACGTCCGGGCCTCCAGTCTTCTCACGTGCTCGTCGTCTCGCGCCGGATAAACTCCGTGTCGCGAAGGCAGAATTTGACCGGCTCCTCAAAGCCGGAAACATTCGGCCATCCGACAGCAGCTGGGCTTCGCCCCTTCACATGATCCCCAAAAAGGAATCGGCAGATTGGCGTCCGTATGGTGATTATCACGCTCCTAACAGGGTTACCACCCATGATTGCTAACCTATCCCGCACAGCCATGACTTCGCAGCTTGCCTACATGGCAAAACTATCTTCTCCAAACTTGATCTGGTGCGTGCTTACCACCAGATACCAGTTGACCCAGAGGATATCCTCAAGACGGCGGTGATCACGCCGTTTGGTCTCTTCGAATTTCTTCACTTGCCCTTTGGCTTGCGAAATGCTTCTCAAACCTTTCAACGCTTTATTGACAATGTTTCCCGAGGTCTAAACTTCGTGTTCGCCTACCTCNGCCTACCTCGATGATATTCTCATTGTCAGCACCAATGAAGCTGAACAACCTACTCTTTTACTTTTTGTTTTCGATAGGATCCGTCTTCATGGCATCACTATCAACCCAGACAATTGCGAGTTTGGCCGCACCTCCCCTAACTTTCTGGGGCATACCATAGACCAGGGTGGTATTCACCTTCTAGAATCCAAGTTTGAGGATATACACCATTTCGCCGTCCCCATTACGGCTCGAGACTTGCGACTTTTTCTGGGATTAGTCAATTTTTACCGTCGTTTTATCCAGTGTTGTGCTCGGATCTGTCAGCCTATGACCGATCTACTCCGCGGAAATCCTAAATCGGTCACCTTCAATGACGCCGCCCTCCTGGCCTTCAATACCGTTAAGGAGGCACGTTCACAGGTTACACTTCTAGCTCACCACTCTCCAGACGCACCTCTTAGCCTGGCCGTTCATGCTTCTAACGTTGCCGCAGGTGCTGTCCTTCAACAACTTGTTGGTAAT